TGTGCCTTTCCATCTTTCCATTCACAAAGCACATCCTGAGATGACGCTGCAGCCAGCCCCTGCCACTGAACACTAAAGGCTCTTCAGAAACTGGAATTTCTGGGACTATTGGACCTTGCCCTCCCTGCTGTGCTCACTGGTTGCTCCCACTGACCCCTACATCACTACTGTGTTCTATAGTGATGTGGGGATTGGCAGAAGGGACCACTGAGGGCAGCAGGGGACATGGAGCTTGATACTCCTGGCACTGTCAGGCAAAGATTTATTTGCATTAGAGCAGCATTTGGCAGCACGATAGAGCTGATCTTTTTTGTGGACAGCTTTTTTTAACCCCTTGCCACCAGCGGGAGCTCAGCTACAGTTTTGGGCCGCTGATTGAGCTTGCCCTAGAACATCTCTGCAATGCATGCAGCAGCTGAGCATTAAGGTCTGCCCGCTGTGCTGCCACATATATGCGTTTTGCTGTTGTAAAGGGGTTATTGATTTTTATTTGAGGGACAGGGTCACTTTAAGTCAACGAAAAACAAATGGAAGTGACAGGTCTGTCGGCCCGCATTTCTCTGGTATTCCGCAGATGTTCTATTGCAGTTCCGCATTTTTGCTTCTCCAGTCCCTGACACATATTGCATTCATACAAGTCCATGCTTCACTTCAAACAAGGGTCAAACATATTCAGCAGTCATAGCCCAGCCTCTGCAGAAATAACTACAGCTTCAGAAAAGGCAGTCTCACACTTAAAGATGAACCTGCGCTATGCCCACACAGGGCAAAGCAACAGGTTCACTTTAAGTTGCAGGGTAAGCCCTCATTCACACGAGAAAAGGCCGGCCGTATTGGGCAGCTCCCTGGAAGGACAGGTGCTGTGTGTGATTAGTGTGCAGCCCCTGTCCTTCTCTATGGGAGTATGCGGCCCTATGCTCACCCGCCCTGCACGTCGGTGCGGGTGTCCGTACTCATACACTGACGGGATGGATCCTGTCTGCGTCCGAGCCAAGGCACCCGTACGGACCAGCATTTGGGGTGAGCGTAGGGGGGCGTATGGCCGCATAGTCCCATAGAGAAGGACAGGGGCTGTGTACTAATCACACGCAGCACCTGTCCTTCCCGGGAGCTCCTCGATACGGCCGTGCACGCAGCACGAAGCTGTATGTGCCGGCCAATTCCTGTGTGAATGAGGCCATAAGGTCTGCCCGCTGTGCTGCCACAGATATCCGTTTTGCTGTCGTAAAAGGGTTATCGATTTTTATTTGAGGGACAGGGTCACTTTAAGTCTAGGAAAAACAAATGGAAGAGACAGGTCTATGAGCCCCGCATTTCACTCGGATTCCGGAGATGTTCTATTGCAGTTCCGCTTTCATTTTTGCTTCTCCAGTCTCTGACACATGTTGCATCCATGTTTGACTTCTAAACAAGGGTCAAACATTCAGCAGTCATAGCCCAGCCTCTGCAGAAATAACTACAGGTATAGAAAAGGCAGTCTCACACTGTAAGGTGAACCTGCACTGTGCCCACACAGGGAAAAGCAACAGGTTCACTTTAACTTGCAGGACTATTCACAAAAGGGTGAAGGGTTTGGAGAAGTGAACAATCTAGGACAACACAGCTGATTTGGATAAATTCCCTGAGGCTGGGTTCACACCTAGGCGTATCGAATATGCGTGTTTGTCGCGCGTTTTTACCACGATTTGGGGTAGAAAAAACGTACGACAAACGCACGTTTCCGAGGGTTTCCCAATGGATACACGCGGCAAATACGCCCCAAAGAAGCTCCTGTACTTCTTTGGGCGTTGGCCGTTTTGTAGCGCGTTCCTACGGCCTGAAATACGCCCAGGTGTGAACCATATCCATAGGAAACAATGGGATTTCGGTGTTTGAGCGTTTTGCAGAGTGTACGAACGCGCTACAAAACGCCCAGGTATGAACCGGGCCTAAAGGAAAACCTTGTGGTAGCTACAAGATGACAAATGTGTTAGGGATGTGTGTAATATAAGACCTACCCCGAACTAGGTCTTATTTTCGGGGTAGGTCTTATATTACAGAAATCCCCAAAGATAGCACTAGGTCTTATTTTCGGGGTAGGTCTTACTTTCGGGGAAACACAGTAGAGAGCTATGGGCTCCTTGTGGGGCCCAGAGTTCACACATAGAGTGAGTCACATGTTGCTCCATACGCAGAAGTACAGAGCATTTTCTTTTGGTTTCTGACCCTGGAATGGTGGAGAGCGGAGGAAAGTTAAAGCAGATCTCCAGACAAAAATATCAGAAAAAAAATTAAAAGCCCAATAAAAGGTAAAATAACAAACCAGCTTTTGCTGCAATATTCACCTTCAGTCCAAAGATTTCCCAGGCCGCAAATTTTTTTCTGCCAGTGTATGTCCTCCATTTAATGGCCAGCAGCCACTTCCTCTGAGCCCAAGTCATCCTGGACCCAGCCCAAAGGAGAAGCATTACAGTGACGAGCTCTTCTTCATCACTCTGCTTTCTCCTCCTACTGGCAAGCTTTGTGTCAGCACTTGAACCGATTTGGCTCCTTGTGCTGTTTCTTCCTCCCACACTCCTGCCCTTTTGTACAGGGACTGCAAGAGGCCAATACCAGGTTGAATTTGGCTACAAACAACTCTAGCTTTTAAAGATACATTGAAAGTGCAAATGAAGCCAGAACTTTTTTTTTCAGTTTTGGATAGAACGGAGAGGGTATAGAATCCCTGTCAGGATATTTTCGCTGTCTTTGTCCCCATTAGGAAGATTCACCCTCTCTCATAGTCCTGGTGAAAGAAAATCCCAAATTTTGGGCTGTCTTCAGAACAGATATACCGGTAAATGGGAAATCTTCCAATGCTGACCACCAGGGATTTTCCCTATCTTTGTAGGAAATTTGTCTTGCTTCCTGTTGAGGCTATCGGACAGGAAGCAGTGGTGTCACAAGGGGGGTGTAACCTGTACCCGGGTGACACCATTGGAGGGGTGACACCAAAATGACTAACAGTCATTTTGTTTTCACCCCCTCTGAAATGTCGGGCTCTCGGTCATGGAATGAGAGCCCGACAGTTGCAGGAGAGAGTAGTGGACTTGGCGGGATCCGTAATCCCGCCGGGTGAACGTCCCCTCCTCTCTCTGCCGGCGTCCATCATCAAGATGGCCGCCGGCAGGTATCACCAAGATGGCTGCGTATGCACGATGGCATCATGCGCTATGGTGTCACGGCGGGGTGTCACTCGCTATCTGCTCCGGGTGACACCAGGCCTCGGGACGCCCCTGACAGCAAGTGAAGTGAAATCGTCCCAATGGGACAATTATGGTAAAAAAAAAAAAGATAACGGGTTGTAATACAGAGCTGCATTCATTTGAGTCTTGTACATCTGCTTTAGGTGTATGCTGGGTGGGCAAGTGGGGCGGGGGGGGTCTGGGCAAGGCAAGTTTGATATAAAGTAAAACTGCCACCCTGTGGGAGGAATGTAACATGAGGAAGGATTGGTTGCTTTGAAAACAGGTTTTGCAGGTTGTCGCCACTTTGTTGGCCTATTCCTTTAATTTCCCTGTGAAGAGTCATTTGGCTCATGTGTTTTAATGAATGAACAAAGATTCCCGTGTATGAGCACGTTGGAGGGTTTACTTGTAACTGAACGCTACAGAAAGCAGCAGTGTATGTGCTAAATGCAGCCATTGGGCTCCGTGTTAAAGGCACTCTTTAACACGGAGCCCAATGACTGATTTTAGCACATACACTGCTGCTGTAATGGGAATGAGCCTTGAATGACTGGCTGGAGATGGGTTTGGCATGCCGGCTATTGCTGTCATTTCATCAATGACTCTTTTAATTCCTGTTTGGTTTGTCCCAGCAGAGATGGATCTGATCAGCATGGCAGTCCTGAAGAGAGCCACGGAGATGGAGCAGATGGGGGAAATACTCATCATTGGAGAACAGCTAAGGTGGGAACTGGAAAGATTATTACTTCCTAACTTGATACACTATGTGGCCAAACGTTTCTTAAAAATGCATTCAAGTTCCTGAACCATTAACAAAAATGCATCTTATTTGTGTATCACTCGGCTGTAGATCCTCAAGGAGCGAGCTGTGATGGTCAGGTGTCCACAAAATGATGGCCACATGGTATATATTGCAAGGATTTTAGCAAAATGTATCTAAAGTCAAAATGTTTCTTTTGGTTTTGGATAGAATAGAACAGCAGTCGCCAACCTTTCGGACCTCATGGACCACTAAATTCATCATTTTAAGTCCCGCGGACCACTAATATGAATTAAAAAAAAAATATATATGTGTGTGAATGTGTGTATGTATGTATGTATGTATGTATGTATGTATGTATGTATATATATGTGTATGTATGTATCTATATACCGTGTTTCCCTGAAAATAAGACACTGTCTTATATTTTTTGGGCTCAAAAAAACACACTAGGTCTTATTTTCGGGGTAGTTCTTATTTTTTTTTTAATGTACAACACTCCGCACTTATTCATGTACAAAAATATGGTAATCAGGGGTGCCGTACCTTTCCAAGAGCAATTTGCTAACCAATCGCTGGCCAGAATGAGTGAAGCGCGCTTTCACTATCGATTCCTCAGAGGCGGAGTGCATTTGGTATCTCTCCGCCTGTGACAGGAGCCGGCGCTATAGAGGAGGCATCGGCTTACGCGGCTCTGCTCCCTCCGGTGCCGCCTCGCTTCCTCTAGCGCTGGCTTCATTGGCACCTCTGATTCTATCCTGCCTCTCCCGCGGCTCTTCAAGTTCCCCCTTATGCCCTGGGAATGTTCACAACTAGGTCTTATTTTCGGGGTAGGTCTTATATTTTAGCAATTCCCAAAAATAGTACTATGTCTTATTTTCGCGGTAGGTCTTATTTTCGGGGAAACAGGGTATCTATATATAGATATATACATATACATAGGTGCGGGTGTGCCTGCATCCCCCCCCTATCGAATCTGCCACTGGCCCTGCCAGCGGCGCCTGGGGCACATGCCCCCCCTAGCTTCAGCACTTCAGACCAGGAGTAGACAACCTTGGCCTTTTACCTGTTGTGGAACTACAAGTCTCATGAGGCATGACAGCCACAGGCATGATTCCTGGAGACAGAGGCATCAAGGGATTTGTATCTTCACCATACCTAGAGTGCTGAGGTTGCCTACCCCCCGCTTTAGACATTCGACATTCTTTGTCTCACCAAGAGTGAAGCTGCCAGTGCAATAAACAAAAGGAAACGCCCGGGATGCCGTATTCTATTTAACAAGTTCCCAGTAGTATGACCTCATTCTTCATACAGGCTTCAGATAGTGGTGACCTAACTGCAGGAGCAAGATGATGAGAATTCCAGTACATTATGCCAACCAAATGAATGTTGCTGCCATGGTGTCAAGCAGAACAAATTGTACAGTAGTTGAAGAGAATGATGGCTGGCTGCACATTGAAGTGAGTCACTAAAGAGGTTTTTCACTTTAAATTCAGTCAGTGGAAATCGGTTTATTTTATGGCCGTTCAGGACAGACAGCGTGACGAGTTTTTGCCTTGGAAATCTGCTGAGAAGTAACGAGTCTTCAATGCCAGGCCAGCCTGATCTGAGCGGTGGTAGCCTTGGAGCTGCATGGGGGCTTTATCCAGAAATAGAAACCTGATAGTTTAACTCTTCTCCACCCTATGCAAAACTAAAAACACTCGCTGGAGTGAGAGCCCGTACACACCAAGGCCGTGCGTTATTCGGTAATGCAGTACCGCGCATTGTGCCCCGGGAGTGCCATTCAAATGAACGTATGCGGTACCATGTGATTGGTGTATCGTGTGAACTACACCCAAAATGTATATTTTAGAGTAGGGAAGGATTAGGATCTCTGTTGGGGTTTGATTTAGGGATCAATCATGGTGATCATTGTCTTGAGGAGAGAAAGAGGAAGGGAAACCAAGATTTTACAGTTGGTTCACTTACTTCCTGTTGTGTCTCTGGGGACAGCAAGTGGAGGGAAATCTCAATAATGAGAGCAATGAAAACATGGCAGAGGTACTACCCCAACATTGGCTGTAGTTAGACATTGAAGAAGAATTTACTGAGAAAAATAGATGGCTTGCTGAACTTCTTCTGCTAGTTGCCTGGCTGTCTTTGGCTTCAATACTGACCTGGAACAAAGCATACAAAACGGAGTCTCTGAACTCAAAATCTGCAAAATTGTTCTTACTCATTGACTTAGAGTACTGAAGCTTGAAGTGCTCAGTATGACAGCCAGTAATTTAGTATTTTCACAGGTGGGTGGTTTTAGCCTCCATATTGGAAAGCCCAACTCTGGACTAGCCACAAAAAAAGTAGATGCAGAAAATAATGTTCGTTTACCAGGGGATGATTTAACAATGAGGGATAGTTGCCTCCTTCCCGCCAGTTCGGTAGTGATGGCCGGTCCCCTGAAGCCACTCTACTTTACCACTGCCCCTCTGACCAATGTCATTATATACAATGCAGGAGCGGCGGCTTTGTAGTTTCTGAAAATGAGGGTTGCCCACACTCTGGCGCTGGAGAGAAGTGGATCAGAGAATCTGCAGCTGCAGTACTGTCTAGGCATATTCCACTTTTTGTAAAAACAAATAAATAAAAAATAATAATTGCACCTATATCACAAAAAGAAGAAACAATTGTTTTTTTTTGCATTGGTGCCTGCAGAGCATTGCAACTGTGATCAGTGCTTCATGGGTGCATTGCACAGGCTCCTGCAGACTGTTCCTCCAGCCCCAGGTCCTTACTAAGGTACGGGCCTTCAGTTATGGGACTGGAGAAAGAAATCGATGGACTGCTTTGATTGCATTATCAAAAACAACTCCTGTATACATTCCTATTACAATGCTGGTGGTATAACAGGAGAGAATATGCTGGGACTTTTCAACTCCTTTAATTGTGTTGGTCAGCCCGGAGTTGAGCTTTGAACGTCTCCTAGTGCAGTACAGCTACGTCTTGATGAGTACCGGTGTTCTATCAAAGTTTGTGACTAGGTTGGAATGTGTGACCGGTCACGTGGTCACACATTTTAACGTAATCCCGCCCATTTTTTCAGGGGTGGAATGTGTGACCGCCAAAAGGTGAAGAATTTCAACGCTTTCTCAGCTGTTCAAGGGCAGATCGGCATCGCAGATCGTATGTGCAGGAGAACCGATCTGCCCTGGAACAGTTGATGGGTCCTGAAATGTCCGTTCTATCTGACTTTGTGGAATGTGAGATCGCACTCCCAAAGTCGGATAGAAGTGACATTTCAGGACCGATCAGCTGTTCCAGGGCAGATCGGTTCTCCTGCACATGCGATCTGCAATGCCGATCTGCCCTGGAACAGCTGAGAAAGTGTTGGAATGCTTGACCTTTTGGCAGTCACATATTCTACTGCCGAAAAACTGGGCGGGATTACGTTAAAATGTGTGACCACTTGACCGGTCACACACTTTGATAGAACACCGGACGTCCTGGGCTCCTTATATACATTTGTTGCTTGGTCTGTCATTCTGAGTGCACAGGGCAGATTTCCAGATGACAGTAATCCACAGCTGGGAGCCGATTTACTGGTAATGGCCGGGTCACAGTGAGCGCATTGTGTGTGAACATGTACATCTGCATTATTTTTAGGAATGGCTCATTTGGGAATAGTTGACATGATGTCATATCTGGAGAGACATTCCCATTTAGTCACATCTGGAGAAGACATTCCCATTTCGTCCTAATACATGTGAACCCTGACAATCAACTTCCCGTATTCACTTCCTCTGAGTCTGTTAAACATACCGTTGCTTTATTATACTCCGGCCACTTAAAAAAAAAGAATCCTTGCTGTGGGGCTACCCCTGCAGTGTAAGGGTTAGGTGCTCATTTTGGTCTAGGTCTAAAATAACAAAGATATACTCACTCCATCCTCGGTCCTGTGTCGGCGCTCATCTCTGTGTGAAGCTCACAGTGTGCACGAAATCAGAGGAAGCAATTCCAAGAGAGGAGCCGGTACAACTGTGCAAGACTGTGCAAGAAGGCGGGAGTACAGCCCAATAATGTATATAAATCTGTAACTTTCTTTCGATGTGACTTTTACATGACGGATCCATCGAAATCTAAGTGATCTGATTTTGCTTCATGTTTTGTGTGGCCTTGGGTTGTATTGGTTGTAAGGTTTGAAGTTCAGGGTGCCTAGGCATCGGTCACATGTCCAGTTCCCTTCATCCATGTCCCAGGCTGCAGATCACAAGCCCTGGGTGGCCTCTGAAGTCTGACTTTTTTCCAAAATAACGGCTCTGGGCTTTCCGGAGAGATGAGGAATGCGGGATGGATGGTGAAGGTTGTCGTGGAAACGTGTGGGTTTTGGGCAACTGACCTTTGTACTCCAGCAGGACTTAAACTACCAGGAAGCCGATTGTTAGATGCAAGTGATGTCTTTTAGATGTTTTGTGCTTTGGCTGGTAATTTGCATTTTGTCATTTTATCCCAGAATATCTTATCGGATAGGACGGTATGTTATCCCGGGATGTTTTATGGGATAGGACGGTATTTAATCCCAGGATGTTTTATCGGATAGGACGGTATGTTATCCGGGAATGTTTCATCGGATAGGACGGTATTTAATCCCGGGATGTTTTATCGGATAGGACGGTATGTTATCCCGGGAATGTTTTATCGGATAGGACGGTATTTAATCCTGGGATGTTTTATCGGATAGGACGGTATGTTATCCCGGGATGTTTTATCGGATAGGACGGTATGTTATCCGGGAATGTTTCATCGGATAGGACGGTATTTAATCCCGGGATGTTTTATCGGATAGGACGGTATGTTATCCCGGGAATGTTTTATCGGATAGGACGGTATTTAATCCTGGGATGTTTTATCGGATAGGACGGTATGTTATCCCGGGATGTTTTATCGGATAGGACGGTATGTTATCCGGGAATGTTTTATCGGATAG